GTCTCTGGTGTCCCCAGAATGTGTCTGTGAAGTTTCAGCTCAAAATACTCCACAGATCGTCTCGGTTACGTATGTAACCCTCGTTCCCTGAAGGAGGGAACGGAGACGTCACGTCCCGTCGCCACAGCTCCTGTACCACCGCTGAGCGGCCGGGTCACCGGCTCGGCTCCTCAGTGAAAACCTGAATATGCGCTGCATCTGCTGCCTACTTATACTCACGCTGTGATCAGCAGCAGCTGGATGCAATAATCGCATGCCAATGTGCATTGGCTCGTTTAGATTACACTTGAAGTAGATTGGTCCCTCTAAGCGAGATCCCAATTCGTCGGTCATCCGACGTGATGTCTCCGTTCCCTCCTTCAGGGAACGAGGGTTACATACGTAACCGAGACGTTCAGTGCATTGGGGAACACTGGCATAAATTAGCTGAAAGTGCCATAATGTTTTTCCTTCCCTAATTATTTGAGAGGCCTCTCCTTTTTTATACTATTGTTTAAAGGTTAAAAGTAATTACGTAATTAGGTTAGTTACTTGTATTAGTCTCTTGGCATGCAGTAATAATGTTAAAATTAGGGCTGTTAATTTAACACATTTATTTAGTGCATTTAAATATATAAAATAATGAGAATTATAATTTTTTTAAATGAAAGAGTATTAAAACAAAATCACACACCTGACATGCGAACAAAACAACCAGTTTATTGAGTTTTACTTTTACAATGTCTATTAAATTATTCATTTAATTAATTTCGCAATTATTTGCAGTTCATTTTATTATTGAATCTGAATATTCTGTAATTGATTGACAATTCCTTTCTTCTGTGGAACACAAAAGAAGATATTTTAAAGAATGTTGTTGGTAACTTGTTTCCCATTGACTTATGGACAAAAATAAAGTCTTTGGGAACCAAAACTATTTGGTTATCAGCATTCTTCAAAATATCTTCTTTTGTGTGTTCATCAGAAGCAAGTCAGTCATACAGGTTTGGAACAACATGAGGGTGAGTAAATTATGACCATTTTTGGGTGAACTATCCCAGTGCATCTGTTCAAAATGAAACAAATATTCACATGCCACCAATGCGACGTTAGTTCTGAACAGCTATTTGAAAACATGTAAATACCGTTTGACTTAATTTCCTCTCACTGACGAGTTTAACAAACGTGAATAGGCCTTTAGATTAAGGAACTTTATCTCCTCATTGTGTGTTCCAGGTCTCAAGTCTTTGGGAATGACGATCGCCCAATGCTACGAGGAAGTTGGCCTCCTGATGCTGTTCCTTTCTGTGGGCATCTCCATCTTCGCCACAGTGGAATACGCCATTGAACACGACATGCCAGAGACCACCTTCACAAACGTGCCCAGCGCCTGGTGGTGGGCCACCACGTCCATGACCACGGTAGGGTACGGAGACATCCGTCCGGACACAGTGCTAGGAAAGGTGATGGCCTTCATCTGCATCCTATCCGGCATTCTTATTCTCGCACTGCCTATCGCCATCATCAACGATCGGTTCTCTGCCTGCTACTTCACGCTTAAAATGAAGGAAGCGGCGCTGCGGCACGGGGAGGCGCTGAAGCGACTGACGCACAGCTCGGCCTCGGATATATCGATGATAGGGGTGAACCTGCGGGACGCCTACGCCAGAAGCGTGCTGGAGATGCTGCGGTTGCAGGGCCGAGAGCGAGCCAGCACACGCAGCAGTGCAGGAGATCTTTGGTGGTAACAGTAGGCCTGCAAGCTACCGGAGAGAGAGAGACAGATAAAGAACAAGTGAGCGAGAGAGGTCTTTTAGGGACCACAAATCCTTTAAAGGCCTCATATCATGAGGAATCAAACTTTGCTTTATCTTTATAGAGATTATTGCATTAGGAAAACATACTGTAACTTGCCTCAAAATAATTTATTTAAATCATACTGCAAAAACAACTGGACGTTCTCATGTTTCTGATGTCACAAACCTAACTTTGCAATCCTGTAACAATCTAATGCAGCTTTGCAAAGTGGCTAAAGTGGTAAAACTGTATTAGAAATGAGTGCAAATCTGCAGCTTGCAGATAAAGTGCTGCTGCTCGTTTCACATGCAAATGGGGCGTTTCTTAATGTTGCGATATAATGGAAGTAGCAACAGATCTTTTCTTCCATACTGTGATGTACATCCATTGGGGACTTGATTCAGTTGTTGGTTGGATAGAGGCAGTTGTACATGCAAACTTGCAGTCAATTGTAAGAAAGAGGCATGGTTTAAAGGTATAGTTCACCCAAAAATGGAAATTCTGTCATCATTTACTCACTTTCATGTTGTTCCAAACCTGTATGACTTTCTTTCTTCTGTAGAACATCAGATATTTTAAAGAATGTTGGTGGCCAAACAGTTTTGGTTCCTATTGACTTTCATTGCATGGACAAAAAATACAATTGAAGTCAATGGGAACCAAAACTGTGGTTGCCAGCAGTCTTAAAAATATCTTCTAAACAACATGAGGGTGAGTCATGATATGACATTTTGATTAAAGATTACGAGGTCAAAAAAGGTTTAAAAATGAAACACATACATGGATGAATGGTTCACAATAAGATCAATAACATGCATTTAGAAAATAGATAGCTTGATTTTCCATTTCATACCAACTTTAAAAGACAGCAGCAGCAAAAACAGACCACTTAACAGAGTGGAAAATGGTCTTAAAAAGTACTACAACTGTTATTATAAATTATATTTAAAAAAATCTAAATTGTTATTATAATTTTTTTTTAAAAACTTGACATTGAACCTCAGGGAAAAAATAATGTTAAAGACAAAAGTATATTACGACTCCTTTTAAGGTGAAGTAGTGGCACAAAACAGAATTGCAAAAATAAAGACTTTATTCAAACAGGTTTCCCAAACACTGCCATTGGCTGGACAACAGTTAACCCCGCCCCAGACTCGCACCATTGGTTGAATCAGTGTTTTTATGCTGCTTAAAAGAACCAGAGCAATTCACGTTTTGACTGAATCAACTTACGAATGACTTCAAATTGTCTCTGCACATTAAGCTGGGAGAAGTATTTTAACGTGAAATTACAATCATCAAAATGATTTTTCAAAATTGCTACATGCCTGTTCTGTTCATCTTTGTGCAACTCACTGATTGTTTGTAATACAAGTAGTTTTTACTGTTCCATTTAAAGACGTAATAAAATCTATGTCTGAATTTTACCGTTTAGGTTGTGTTTTTAAGGGCTGCATTTACATCAGAGCAACACTTTTTCCTGTGCATATTCCCTGCGACTTGTTGATCCTTTTAAAATACCACAAATGGCAGGAAGATTACGATGACCTTGTAAGACCAACAGGTCTGCTCAAAGACGCATGGCTTATTTGACACATTGCTCTGAAACAGTTGCAGCTAGACATTCAGATATTAAAATCTGACTTAAAAAGAGACTGGCCACGGCTAGACAGTAACAATGATTTGCACTGCAGGAACATGTTATTATATGACAAGATATGACATGTAAATGGATAACAAGCCTTTAAAGCCTTTAATCTATTTCAGTGAAATTCTTCTTTTAAAGGGGTCATATGATGCGATTTCAATTTTTCCTTTCTCTTTGGAGTGTTACAAGCTCTTGGTGCATAAAGAAGCTCTGTAAAGTTGCAAAGACTAAAGTCTCAAATCCAAAGAGATATTCTTTATAAAAGTTAAGAGTCAACCACGCCTACCTAAAACGGCTCGTTCTAACACACCCCACATGTCTACGTCACGATGTGAGAAGATTTGCATAACGCCGCCCAAAGGTTCA